AGGAAGAGAGATAAAAAACGCCGAGGAACATGATATAAAGAGAGAAAAGGGAAGAGACTACTTACACTGTATGACCTGTTCATACCAAAAAAAGAAATGTTTACGAAATTCTTATAAAGAAACATCACATAAAGATTCACTGTAAAGCAAAAGCGGACATGTTATCTGATGATTCCTTTGTCTCGTACTTTCTAGCATTGTAATTAATAATCTGAGGAGGAGTTATGTAAAATGAAACAAGTTTCGTGCTCTCCTTTTCATTAATTGAAACTGTTAAAATGTAAAGCCCAAACTAAATATTCTGTTTTCAATTTGTAGAGTAAAATTCTTTCTAGTCTCAGAGGAGGCGAATTCTTCTTTTTTAGTTCTCCATCATATTTTCCACTGATCTTTTGGAGTTGTTCATGAGCTAATTAATGCATCGTCTATTCCCATGTTTATTCTTGATTCCTAGAAACATACTTTCATGTTTACGTAATGCTCACAAGTTTCGTGAATGTTAACGATTCTCAAAATTTTTTCACACTGCATCAAATATATTTGCAACTCGCCATAGTTTCTTCCTGTGAAAGTCGCCGCCATTTAAATTTGTGTAAGGTTATGTCACATAAGTTTCTGAGTTTACAGTAGTACCTTTAAAGAGAAGGTTGAGTTCTGGAAAGAGGTAAAAAATAATTTGTGAGCGTTATCATTCGTATTACGCCAGTGTGGAAGAACATCAGTTAAGACATGTTCCCTAGAAAGCATGGCTCTTGAAATGCCTTCATATTCTAAATATGTCATGTGACATCGTAAAAATCTGGATAGGATTTTTATGCCATGTGTTTGTGTAGTCCCATATACATCTTTCTGTGTACAGTGTTTGTAACTTTATCAAGACTTGGCCAAATTTCTTATCATTTTGATGATTCCAGAACCTTGCAGTACACACCAATACTTTTATGCTAGATGATCAACCTTTTCTGATCGATTCCACAACGTTTTCTTTCACAATGCAATCGCATGACCATAACTGGTCTTTATCTTTAAGGGCTGATGTGAGAATTTAAGCCTGACTAGATAATGAGTCATTGATGATTCAGTTCGATTCAGGGCAAGGAGGATAAGGGTGATGATTTAGGCGCTTCAGATAATCTAACAAATTTGAGGATAATGAGAGAGAGAGAGAGAGAGAGAGAGAGAGAGAGAGAGAGAAAGATAGAGAGATAGGAAGAGATGGAAAGGGAGCAGTATAAAGATGGTGAGGGAGGCACTGCTGAGATACGTGTAGGCAGAGGAAAGGGGAGAGGAAGAAAGAGAGAGGGGAGAGGGGAGAGAAGGAGAAGGGGCAGGGAGAGAGGAAGAGAAAGAATGATGAAGATACAAAATAATTTGAGGTCTTTAGAGAGAGAGAGTGAGAAAGAGAGAGAGAAGGGGAGGGAGGAGGAAGGAGAAGAGAGAAACCAATTCAAATCTATTTTATTCATCCAAACTAAAAATGAATGGAAAGCTGCTGAGAGAGACACTGATGTACGTGTACTAGGCAGAGAGAGAAATAGAGTGAGGGAGAGAAAGAGAATGAGATATTTTGAAGAAGAGAGAAATGGAGGAAGGGGACGAGATAGAGTGAATGAGAGCACAGTCGTAATCAATGATGGTGCTACTATTAGTCATCAAGACGCTTACAGAGTAATGATCGTGCAGAAATTAAATTGGAAAAAAAATCCCAGACATTCAATATCAAAACAAATGCATAAGCTGTTTTTTTTTTATACAAATACATGTACCAGTACAAAGGGTGTGATGGTAGTGATAGCCTCTGTTATCTTATTTCAAGATTATGTATTATTTAATTTAGACACAGAGGATACTAGTCTAGGAAAAGATGTGACTAGTCTAAATTTTACCCTTAAAATTTCAATAAATCAACCTAAGGCAATTTTAAGAGCCTAGTGTGTCATCTATTGAAATGTGCGAACATTACAATAACGTATTCCGTAATAACGTAATTTGAACATGAGTTATAATTTTCTATACTAAAGGATATTGAAATTGCCCTTGAGTTGAATTTTCGAAAACAATAGTTTTGATCATGTTTAAAATGCTTGCTTTCATACGTTGTACATCTTCTGAAAGGTGTATCAGAATGTGTTTGGAGCCAGAAGGGCATTATTACCCTCATACTTTAGCACAGAGTTAACTCCCTTCTGGCTCTGAACAGACGATATGGTATCATGGTTTCGACTCACTGGAACCATCCATATATCACAGTTACATATGATTTTATTTAAATGTAACAAAAGTTTTGTCTAGATTTCCCTATGAACATTGATGGAACTGATTGTGAAGGGACAGAAAATTGAAATCTTTGTGTAATGGATAAGGCCATGACTCCATTAGGCTTAATATTCACCTCTAACTGTTTTGGAATCATTGCTAATTACTTATCGACACTCGTTTATTGTGAACTGAGGAAATAAGTAAATTATCTGTTTTTGCTGTTCTCATCGCGGCAATCTGTTAAAACTTTATACATGTAAATTTGTTATCAAATGATATGTGAGACTCAAGGCTACTTGTACAGGTATCTAATGCGATGTAAGCTTATAACTTTAATTCTTTTTAAATTCACAAAAAGTATTGTGTAAGTATGAAGTACCCAGCCCACATCAAAGTGGTTTATGCTATGGAGTGTCACCCCATATTCTCATACTAACTTCTTCATTTTAGTACCTGTATGAATAAATAAAAAATCATATTATCATGGAATCAATTTCTCATAGTTATTTCACGACAAGATTCATTTCGTTGCTGATTTTCATTACTGGTAATTTGTAATGAATAGACAGTTTGACACATGGCACCTAATAAATCAGTGGATTAAATCTATTATTGATCGTCAACTACGTTCAAGAATTTACAGGCATACACATGTATCTCTCAAAGAGGATGCTCGTATCATCAAGTTTTATACTCTGACCTGGTGTTGAACAACGTATCCATGACCACACAGGTTAGACATGGTCGTGGCCTTGCGAGGAACGCTCGGCTGGGGAAGCTGGGTAATCCGATAGTGGTAATTGACGTTTCTGGCGTGTAATTCGCCCGGGATTATTCACGAGAGACCGGGGTGCGAGAGAGACAATGCGCATCTTGTTATCATGCAATTTGCTTGTTTCTTTTGCAGAGGATCGTGGAGGGGGGGGGGGCAATGTTGGGCAGTGGATAACAGTTTAATAATTGGATTACTTATCACGGCTTTTGCATATATCGTCTTTTAAGAGCCAGAGGGAGATTACTCGGTGTCAAAGAATATGAGTAAATGCCCTTTTGGCTCTACATGAAAGTAGAAGATTTATTGATCTTGAAAAAAAAAATCTCAGAGTTTACTTTCTAAAAACATTTTTTTTTAAATATGAGATCTGGTTATTCAAAATTTTCAAACAAATTTGTTACTGTACTTATATTTATCAAGTATGTATTACTGTTGGACTATTGAGTTAAACTTCAGGTCATCTTTGTACAGGCAGTGTAACAGTACTGATCAGGCTAACCCTTCAATATTTAGAAAATAAATAGATAAATGTACATATTAATGAGAGAGAGAGAGATAGGCAGAGAAAGAGAGAGAGATAGAGAGATAGATAGAGAGAGAAAGAGAGAGAGAGGGGCAGTATAAAGATGGTGAGGGAGACACAGATACATGTAGGCAGAGGAAAGAGGGGATGAAGAAAGAGAGAGGGGAGGGGGAGAGGGAGAGAAGGAGAAGGGGGCAGGGAGAGAGGGAGAGAAAGAATGATGATGATGAAGATTAAAAAAAAATGACTTGAGGTCCATATAGACAGACACAGAGAGAGAGAGAGAGAGATGGGGTGGGGGGAGGAAGGAGAAGAGATAAACCAATTCAATTCGGGTTTATTCATCCAAACTAAACTAAATGGAAAGCTGCTGAGAGAGACACTGATGTTCATGTACTAGGCAGAGAGAGACATAGAGGGAGGGAGAGAGAGAGAGAAGAAATAAATAGATAAATGTACATATTTATGCATTTTCTCTAAATGGATGTGACCATGTTGTCCTAAGGAATGAGAATATGTAGGTTGAACTGTTTGTACCATAAAAAGGGGTTAACCTGCTGACTGCTGAATTCATTTATTCCTATTGGCTTTATACAGGGGCCATTTGGTTCCAGAAGGAAATGGGTTAATATTTCTCATGAGAACGTGTGTACATGGCTACATTGCCAATTGCAAGTAGAAAATTCCCCATACTATGTGTTCTCTTGATGTGTGAAAATCTCTTACTCTCTGACTTTGTTATGAAACTTTCATGTTTTTCTCTAATTTTTCTTCTTCCACTCGATCAAAATCTACAAAGCGATTTGTCCTCTTAAATGACCCACAATGGATAATAATTTCAAAGCATGTTGTCTGTTGAAGTCCAAAGAAAGTTGGTTTTTTTTAAGCACAGACCAAATGGGAGGGGAGCTTGCAAGATACATGTACGTCATAGAGTTGCCAATGCGTGTTTGATTGATCGCAACTTCAACATTCATAACTTTCTTATTTTTAATCAGAATTTGCTGAAAATTTCACTGATCCGTTCCTTTCATTTTTCTGCTTCTATTAAAATCTTAATTAAAACCAACTTAATATCAGGATGGACTTTCCCTTTAACTTTCTATAATTTGGCATACTCTTCTGACTCACAGCAGAAATGACTGGATTTTAAAAAGAATGATTTTGGGAACACATTGATGAATATAAATGAGCATGACAAGTGCTTTTTTTTTAAAGACCCTCACTTCGCATGTTTTTGTCTGTTTCTTTATTTGTATGTGATGATGATCATTTGACTTTTATTTCTAAATAAAGCAGCACCCGTTCTGAGGAAAACACTGATTTGATTCACGCTTCAATTTTCTGTCAGCTTCATACTACAGTGTATATTTCATTTTGTTTGTCTCTTGATTTTAATTGATGATGAATTATAATGTTTTTGATTTTTGTTCTCCCGCACAGATATACAAGAATTCTACGAGGAGACCTTGATGGACAGTTCTAAATCAATATCACAGAAGACCTTAGAAACATTACAGGTCGCAACCAGGTGGGAGGAGCAGCAACAGTTTGGACAGAATTCACCCAAACAACCTTCAGAGGTAGGACTAGTGATTGATTTGTTTATTTATTATTTATGAGTTGATTGATTAATCTGATTGATTTATTGGTTGATTGAATGTTTGAGTAAGTGAGTGAGTGTTTGATTAATTATTTGATTGATTATGTGATTGATTGATTGAGGAGAAGATACATTGATTGACAATTGTTTGATCAATTAACCAATTGATTGATTTGTTGATTGAATGATTGGGTGAGTGATTGATATTTTGTTTGGGAACGATTGGTTGACATGTTAATTAGATTGAGACTCATTGAATAATTGTATTATTAATCAATTTATAGGTCTATTGATTGATCAAAAGTGGATGGTTGATTGATGAATTGATAAGTACTAGAGAAAGAGAGAGAGAAAGAGAGAGAGAGAGAGAGAGAGGGGGGGGGGAGATCGAGAGATATAGAGAGAGGAAGAAGGAGCTAGAGGAAGAAAAGATGGCAGAAAGATCAGATTTTTGTGAGGAAATCATTATAAATTCCAAGCAATTTGTCACCCAAATTTATTATTATAACTTTACAATGTTAGATACTTTCAATATCTAAAGATAAACAGCTTAACAATGCATGTCTTTACTACCAGTTTAAAGAGGTACATAGTTGATCTCCTGTATGATCTAAATGATGTTTTAGGGAAGCGAGTGATTATTATTTCTTGTCCCGGAGCATCCTGTAAGTGTTTTCATACAGCTGTCGGCTTTCTTCCGGGTGCTTTGGTTTTGTTGGTGTAAGAAATGAGGAGTTACAAAAGTGAAAGTTTGTACACATAGGAGAAGGTCATGACACAAAGTACCCTGATCTCTTTTAAAGCAGCTATATATATACAGGAGCCGAGTAAAACATTAGATTGAAAATAAGTGCTGTGTCTGATATTTGATCATCATCTCTAACTGTGACATGCATTTCAAGAAGTTCTTAAAGATGGGTTTATAGGATGAAGTAGGGACTACATCTACATGTTGCTCTTCGTATAAAAAGATTGTTTAAAAGAAATATGATTTAGGATGAGGGAAAGCAACCTGTTTGGAGGCAGAAAGGTGTTAACTCTGTGTCAAAGTGTTAAAGTGTTATGAGTTCATGCCCACGAGGCTCTGAACAGACAGCATGCACTATCAATGCAATGCATATTGTGAAGAGCACCATACTAGTATAAAGAGCGTCTCAGATACCTGTCTTTAAGTTTGGATTTTAGTTTGTGATAGATGATTAAATGAATTGGAAGAATTCAGACACAAGCAATAGAAGTTTAGAACATAGATACACCATACGAAAAAGATTTGTAGGATTTTTGTGCCCTGTAAAAAAATAAACATTTGTTAGTGAATATTGCCCATCTAGGTGTAGTCTGACATGTAAAGTTTGTAGCGTAGCCTCAGAGGGATAATTTTCCCCGAGTTGACATGGTCAAGTCTATTGAAACCCTTCCTTGTTCAATTCATTCTATTTTCTAACCTTTTTAAATATTTGAAACAAATCCATGCTGGGCCACAGTACACCAAATTCATTTTGTGGGTTCACTGTGAAAGTATGACAGTGCATATCTATGTGGTCACATTCCTTGTGCATGCTAAAGCACTTTCTGCATGGCGATACATGCTCTCTTTCGGTGTCGGACGTTAAATATAGAACAGCATGGCAGAAATGTGTCAAGTAGGTCATTAGACGCTACAGCTGTATGGCCATTTGTCCTCTCAAAGGGCCTGTCCTCATCAGCTCGAGTTGGCCATATAGTTCGCTATTTCTGATCGGGGAAATTAGCCCGATCACGAAATAGCTCGCTATTTGGCAGGTGAAGACGCAAATAGCTGGCTTTTTGCACGGGAAATCCTCCCAAGATATTTTGGGCTGGTTTGCAAAATAGCCTGCCATTTGTCCGGTCTGTCTTCACCAGTTCGAAGACTTGCACTATGCGCGAACACTGAGCAAATTTCTCGAGCTGTATCGAGCTGATGAAGGTGCAATTTGTAACTTTGGGCTAATTTCCCGAATCAGAAATAGCGGGCTATTTGGCCAACTCGAGCTGATGAAGACAGGCCTAAATGGTATTTCCAGACCCTTCCTTTCTTTCTCCTGCTGTGCACACCAGCGTTTTTTTCTTCTTCTGATTTTAACATTTTACAGCAGTATTTTCAGACGTGTTTGTATACTCCATCTACAGTGTCCATGTTCGTACTGCTTTTAAAGTTTTGACAAAAATCTAAACTAACTACTTTGTTATGTATAATCCTGCTGTGACATGAGCTTTGTTATTATTCAACCAATGGAAAAAGAATTTCCACCTTATGACAGATGAATCAACAATATCAATTCAATGGATCTATAATACCAATAACAATTTGACTATTCAACCAGTGTGCAAGCCTAGAAATCGTAAGAAATCTATCCTCATTGAGAGATTTGAGAGACGTGTACCTTTTACATTTTAGCAATTTTGTATAAGTACAGACCTCATTAGTGAAAGAGAATATCCCTCCCGTGTTTTCCATCTAATGGGCCACATCATTAAATTCTTCAACATGATTGCACTTTGGTAAATTCTTTGGCATTTACTTCCTTCGATTCCTCTGCATGATTTTGGGGTTTCTGAGCAAATTCATTTCCCAGAGAGTTCCCCTCTCCTCTCCAGATGCAAATTGACTGCAATCAGTGAATATTACGGTACCAGGAGTATATCTGCATAATGTTTGTATTATCATGAAAGAAAATCTGAACTATGATTGCAGTTATCATTTTTATGACTCTTTAATCTTGACTTAACCTTCTTAGATGGGGCATGTTTACATAACCATTGTTATTCTTGATCATAAAACTGCCTTATCTACTGACAAAGATTAAAAAGGCAGACTATTGATATAGTAGTCTGCCTCTCAACAGACCTGGGGGTGTTTCACAAAGACTTAAGATTGACTTAAGTTGGACTTGAACTATGGCGGGCCATTCATGCCACTGGTTGCTCTCACCAATGGTTTCTCGAGGGATGTCACAAATCTACAGAATTCACATTTTATTAATAGTATATTATTGAAGACAAAAACATTATCTAAAGATCATAATTTCGAAAGTTTTTTCCCTCTAACTTTACATCTGGTTCCAGACTTTTTCAGGGCAAGAATTGCCTGCCATAGTTCAAGTCCAACTTAAGTAGATCTTTTTTTGGTGAAACACCCCTATGACCATGTAGTATAAATATTACAATAGATTACAATGTGGAAGGCTCGTGCAACATTTAAGACTCCAAATGTGGTGGGCACGCAGAATGCTAGAATTTGTTCGTATTGGCGTTGAACGCAACACACTGTAGATTCCTCTGCGTGCTAGATCCCGCCTTCATTTAGGGTGAATCGGGGATAATTGCGACCAATCTGCGCCTCACCTACGGCTCTATGGAGAGGTTTATTCTTAATATCTCTTAATCGTAAACAAGAATAAACATGCTCACCATTTTGTAAGACCCCCAGGACTGGCATTATTGTTAGATTAGGTAGTCTGTATCATCAGACATATTGAGCAGGATTCTCTCCTACTTCTGTATTGTGAGCTTGTTTATGAAGCAGAAAGTAGTTTCTTAAAGATGTACACGATGGTGTTCTCAATGTTCTACTGTAGACTGTGATTGAGAATTAATCATCCATATTCTTTGGATATTCAATATGAATTGAAAGAAATCAATCATTGTATCTACCTGCTGATAACCAATTTTCAAAAAGAGATTAATCTTCAATTTAAAAGTTGGAATTCTCGTACAGTTAGCATAAAGTTCTTTTAAAGCCCATCTGCACCAGTTTGGCCAGGAGGGATTAGACCTCCCTGCATGGTCACTGGCAGGTGGTTATCTCATCAACTCAGCTCTCAATTAACATAAGAAAACAGGGACCATGGGGGACCAATGGTCATCGATTAGGCATTGTTTGCTATATAATTAGTGCAGTGGGGCTTTAACTTGCTTACTAAATGATAAGGTTGGTATAAGCTTTAAGTAGGTGTAATGGTTACCCTACCCAATGACAGTTTTCTCTTTCACTTAAATACAACATTGCTGCACACACACACAAACACAAACAAAACAAATGGGCCTGTGTATAAAGCAAATGCAACTTATACCAATTTGAAACTGTATTTTACAAATTATTAATCGTAGATACAAGTCCATAGTGAATAATATTGCATGCATCTTTGGATGTATGTGTACATCAAGGAAAAGAGAAACAGTGTCTGCATGATGAGTCTAATAATAATAACCATTTTTTTCTAGACACATGTGCTTGCAGGCATTGATTAGATTATCTTGCTATTTAGACCATTGGCATACTAGCAGGGCTATAAATAATGATGATGCAAATCATATACATGCGTAGCCCCATCTCTCATGTTATGTTTCCATTTCTCTTACAACTTTGTTCTGTTGAAGATAGACCACAGAGAATCCCTGCATTGATATTTCTATGTAGATGGTATAAAACCTTTTCCTGTTTTGATCAAATCCTTTGTTATCTGTAAATAATTTATTTTTTTCTACGCTATAATCTTTGTAAGATGTGAAAACACCGATATTGCATAAAAATAGCATATTGAAGCTGGGATCACCAATCTGTCCATTGTGGTTTATCCAGTGTGCTCATATCAATTTGATAGCAATTAACACCACTTGCTACTTGTTTTAGGCAAAAACACAAGAAAAAGGAAGAAAAAGGTGAAAGCTACCAATTTTCAGGTAATAGCTGTAAAACATTGAAGATGTGCAGAGGTTTATTTTGTAAAAGGGATGATTTGATTGTAAACATAATCTAGCTTTCTCCAAAAAAGAAATCACCTGTTTTTAGTCAGGAATTATCCCGTCTTGATAATGCCCTCCGGCTCTATAAGCAGACAATATCGAAAAATTAATGAATTAATGTCCATTAGGAAAGGTGCCATCATTGACCGATAACTGTATACACCATGTACAAAGAGATATAAACCATGCATCCGGTGTCTATTCTGAGGCTCAATGAATTAACTGGAGGCATCTGTTTTAGCAGGGATCTAGAAATAGATGTTTTACTAGTAAAGTTGCAGATTGCTTTTCTATTTCAAATTGCATTAAATCCTTTCCAGACGTTTGATCAAAGCCAGTAATCCCTCTTGGGTTCAAGAGAAACACACTAAGGGATATGTGTGGA